CGTGCGGACAGATAATGTTGGAAACCGCTTTTCTTCAACGCAATTATGATCAAATTGTTCTGCCTCGTATAAGATACACGGTTGGCAGCTTGACAAACGCGTACGAACGTGTATGCATATAATAAAAGGGTCAGTGACATTCGGTATAGATATCATTGGTCGTAAACTTTTCGTTTCGAGCTTTGTACGGCACACGCGCATTCCTTGCCAGCTGGTAACATTCGTATAAAAATATTGCGGGTTTTATGCACGCCATCGTGGTACCTGGAAACAACGTTTAGAAGAACTCTCACTTCCAACAACCCGGTTTTGTAGGACAAATATAATTGATCGAGTTGTGTAACGGGTACGAGGCACGAAATAACTCTCAGGCTCGGACATTTGTTACGATAAGATGGCATTTCTCTTCGCTTCGGCTACGGCCACCATTTCAAGCCCGCTGTTTACAGTTATGCACAATGTGGTATCAATGTGAATAATTTCATTCCCACTCTATGCGATAAATCATCGAGATCAAACGGTGGAAATCTTGATCTTGAGAGGTAGGGCATAGTGTTGATAAGGGGAGGGTAATAAAAATTTTAGAGAAGAATATTCTATAAAAAAAAAAAAAAAATATCGTGCTCGTTTGAGCTGAAAGTAGTAAGAATCTCTGAAACAAAAATGGCCGCGCGTTCTATCTTTCTGTGTTTCAATAATGTTTCAATAATGCACGTGACATTGTTGATTGCACGATATTTATTAATTAATCGTTAAATTATCGGTCTTATTTGTATGCAACGCATGACACACGATATCTATATTTGTACCAATGCTCGTTCAATTGAGTTAAACATGAATGGTTTAATCAGCTGCAATTTGTTTAATTAGTTAGAGTAGTAGTATAATTTGTCTCTAGCGCAACTACAAATTGGCTGTCCCACCTCGGTGAAGTTGAATTTAATAGTACGATACGGTTGAATACGAGTACAAAAATCAAGATCTTGAAAGAAATCTTGGAGGGGAAAAAAAAAAAATATATATATATATATATATAAAACGAAATACGCTATATAATTTCTTAAAACGTAGCCACGAATAACAAGTACAATCAATGTCTACTTAAAGTTTTATCGCCTAAGACAAACCGACAAGACAATTTTAATCAGGTAGTAATTTCAATACCCCGATAAAATTGAGCAGAAAACTGTGTCAAACGGTATGTCAGATACGTGTTAACAAGCACGATAAACGAAGAAACAGTGTGCAAGTCCTTTATTATTATTGTGGCAAAGTGCACGGAATGAGATAACGAGGCCTAGCTATAATGATGTATTTGCTACCAGTATTTTCCAGATTTCAACGTTCAACGTTTTCCGTGTCTCGAAACAAAGAACTTTTCTCTCTCTCTCTTTCTCTTTTCCAACCATTAAATTATTTCCCTCCCTCTTCCCTCCTTCCTTTCCACTTTTTCCTCTCTCTCTCTCTCTTTCTCTCGT